GGCAGCTTCTCCAGGGAGACATGTACTGTGCCTGGTGAGTGAGCCCCGCCTCACGATGCCCCTGCTGCCCCTCCTCACGATGCCCCTGCCGCCCCTCCTCACGATGCCCCTGCCGCCCGCCTCACGATGCCCCTGCCGCCCCGCCCCACCATGCCTCTGCTGCCTCACCTTTCCAAAAAAACCCACCGCTTCTTACATTTTATGTTTTAGACCAGAGTTTCTCAAACCAGTCCTCAGGGACCAACAAACGGTCCACAGTTTTGCTCCCTCCCAGCTCCCAGGAAGTTTGTCTGTCCCCAAGGACTGGCTTGAGGAACACCGTTTTAGAACTCCCAACCACGATCTTCCAATGCCAGATTGCTATCAGATTCATGCAGGGGAATAAATAGTTTCAAAGGTTGAAGAAATGTTTATTTTTTCTGCTGTCATATTTTGAAAAGTCTCTTGAGGGCATTAGTGATGGACTGTTTGTTGCCCAGATGAAGCCTCTCACAAGCTTCCATGTCCTTTCAGGGAGCTCACGCTCTTCTGGAGCAAGCTGCTGAAACGCCTGGAATTGTCAGCGCAGGCGTTCCTGGAGAGATGTCGTCAAATGTCCCAGCTCTCCAAAACCGTCTACCACATCCTCTTTCTCATCAAGGTCATCCAGTCAGAGGTGGGTCGCTCACTGTTACCATTTGGCTGGATAGAAGAAGGTAAAAAGCTTCATATGTCATAATATATTGCTCACTCTTTTAGCAACTTTATTTTTTTCCAAAACTTTTTACAAATGTGATTTCAGACCTGATGGCTTTCAGTTTTGAACCAACCCAGTGTTCATTACACACCCTGCACAGCTGAGCGTTACGTGGTGTTTTTATGGGGCAATGCCAAAATTCTGATGCTAATGTATTTTTTTCCATTCCTTTAACAGCTGGAGGATGTGGGCCTGCCAGTGTGAATATGCCACAGACATTGAGATGTGTATAAGAGCCCTGCAAATGGAGTCTGGGGAAAGCGGAAACACTAAGGCCACTATTTGCAAGACTATTTCCTGCTTGTTGCCCTCTGACCTGGAAGTGAAGCGGGCATGCCAGCTAACAGAGTTCCTTCTGGAGCCTACAGTGGACTCCTATTATGCTGTGGAGACTCTGTACAATGAGCCGGACCAGAAGTTTGAGGAAGAAAATCTGCCGGTTCCTAATTCACTGCGCTGTGAGCTTCTACTAGTGTTCAAACGACAGTGGCCTTTTGATCCAGAATTCTGGGACTGGAAAACCCTCAAGCGCCACTGTTTAGCTTTGATGGGAGAGGAGGCATCCATCGTGTCATCGATCGACGAGCTGAACGACAGTGAGAACCCGGAAGGGCTCGAAGAAGATGACATGGGAAAAGGTCAGGAGCTGAAAGATCAGATGGAGTGTTTCTGGGATACAACAAATGAGCTCAATGAAATGACTGATGAAAGGAAAAAGAAGAGGGAAATTAAAAAGCTGAGAGAGAAGGGTTTTATCTCTGCCCGGTTCAGGAATTGGCAGGCCTACATGCAGTACTGTGTCTTGTGTGACAAAGAGTTCCTTGGTCACCGTATTGTGCGACATGCACAGACGCACGTCAAAGATGGGGTTTACAGCTGCCCCATATGTGCAGAATCCTTCGACAATAAAGACGTATTGGTGCCACACGTGGCGTCGCATGTGAAGCAGTCTTGCAAAGAGCGACTTGCTGCTATGAAAACTAGCAGGAAGTTGGCCAACGCCTCAAAAATGGCGGCAGCTAATGCCACCATGCAAAAAGACCGATTGCTTGAAAGCCAGCTCTGCAAGCCGAAGTCAAAAGACGTTTTGGATCATGTCAACTCTTCGCATTCTAATAACGCTGACGCTTCAGTGTTGGAGAAAGACGAGGTGTCCACTGTCAGAACGGATAACATGGAGGAATACTCTTGTCCTGTGGCAAATTGTCGGAAAGGCTTTAAGTACTTCAGAAACCTGATAGCCCACGTGAAGGCGCATGAGAACAATGACGAAGCCAAGCGGTTTCTCGAGATGCAAAGCAAGAAAGTGGTTTGCCAGTACTGCCGTCGGCAGTTTGTCAGCGTCACCCACCTGAACGATCACCTGCAAGTGCACTGTGGTGTCAGGCCGTATATTTGCATACAGCTGAACTGCAAGGCCAGCTTCCTCTCCAACGCCGAGCTTCTCATACACCGAAAAGAACACGCAGTGTTTAAGGCTAAGTGCATGTTTCCAAACTGCGGAAGGGTGTTTCATGAAGCTTACATGCTTTATGATCACGAAGCCCAACATTACAAGACGTTCACTTGCAAAGAGCCTGGCTGTAGTAAAATATTCCACTCGCAGTCGCAGCTGGATTTGCATCAGGAGGATCACGTGGTGAAGGAGGAACACACTGCAGCCAAGGACCAATCTCTGACTGAACTAGCAGAACCCCCACTTCTCTCTGTCAAACAGGAACCAAACTATTCCTTGTTCGAACAGGAAGCAGAACTCTCTATGTCTGATGACGTACCCATTGAACAGAAACCCTTCCCTCAATGTCAAGCTGGGCAGAGTACTCTGAGCTCACCTGTAGATAATCTGTGTCCCCCAAGACCAGTGAAAGTAAAGCACTCTGTTGAGAGCATGCTCAACACCGAACTGGGTATTCCTCCTGTGCCAGGATCTGACTGCGAAGAATCTTTCCAGAATGACCCATCTGCATTGGCCCAGCCACAGTTCTCATCAACGTGCCCTGACACCTTTTCGATTGGTTCTCCTGCTGCCCTTTGCTTGTCTGAGCCGAATCAGCCAAGGGTAGCAGATTCTGCGACCCTTCCTCTCCACACTGATCCAGGGCAAATGACTACTCCAGCTCTGTTGCCTGTTCCATACCAGGGAGTTTTACAGGACTCAAATGCACCTTCACGCCTGGATATTCTGCAGAGTACAGTGCAGTCTTTTCCCTGTCACAATCAGGGCTCTCTTCAAAAAGACATGAATGATGTAAGGGATGAAAGTAAAGCTGTCTGCGCAGGATCAATATCAGCACCACATGCAGGACTGTTTGTGAACAGTAACCTGCCAACGGAACAATCCCCACACTGCATATCTGCCGTGATGCCTGGAGTTCACACGTCTGCCGGCTCACAGGCAGGTCCCCCACCAACTGCTCCTCTAACGGCATATGGGGGAGGAATCACAAGCACAGTTGCTCCATCTACATGCCTAGGCAATCCAGTTCCACCTGAAGGAGCTACGCCACCAAAAGAGAGACACAACTGTGCTTTCGAGTCGTGCACAAGGAACTACAGCTCCTACAGAAGTGTCACCAAGCACATGAAAGCGGCTCATCCTGAGTTCTATGCAGAGTGGAAGTTGGCAAAGAAAAATAATCGGATACCCAAGACTGTGATACACAGTGTTTCTGTGGGTGGAAATTTAAGCTCCGTGACACCCTCACAGGACCGAAGGCTCAGCAGTGTCCCTGTATCTGTAGTCCAAATGCAGATGCAGAACACCATCAGCCAGTCTCTGCCCTATTCTGCAGGTTGTCCAGATCCTTCTGGCTCCAACACATCCATCTCTCTCTCGGAAGCTGGCGCGAGTCTGACTCTGCCAAACCAAATGGAAAATATCTTAAACCCGATATTGCTGTCCCAGTTAGGAAACTCTCAGAGCCAGTCTGGGTCAGTACCGCCACATGTCGGGCCTAGTACTCCCTGGCCCTCACAGTCTGGGAACAATCCGGACATTTCCCAACCAGTAGTATGCCCTTCTCATATGTTGTCCTCACACATTCATGGTCTTCCTAATCCGCCTTATACTTCCCAGATGAACACATCTAATGTTGGACCCCAGCCAACAGAGATGGGTCAGCCGGCCCTGCAAGCAGTGCACACTGTGACTGGTCATCCATTCCTGCAGTCACAGGGGGAAAGCAGCACGGCGTTGCCAGAAGGTACCCCAGGGGAAGGTTTACATACTCCCTGTGTTTCCAGATTTGCCCCTAACATTACCCAAGGTACACCAGCACAGATGGGTACAGCACAAATCCAAAACCAAGGATTTGGCCACACTAGTCAGATTGTGCCCTCTAATTCAAAAGGAATGACTAATCCAATGTTAACATCAGCAATGGAAAGTCTTCCACATTCTGTCATGCCGTCTTATATGGAGGATATTAAGGATGCTGTGATATCAGAACCTGTAGAAAATTCAGGCCCTCTATACCCACCACAAATACAAAACACGGCATTTTCCAACTTTAAACCCCCAGAAAGAATTGTTAATGTGCAGATGAAGAATAATGCGAACTCAGATTTTGCTTCTGAAGGAAATTCAACTCTGCAAGCATCAACTGACCAAGGGCCAGCAAATAACAGCAATGCGTTACCATCAAATGGTGATGGCCTGGCAGTTAAACGAACCAAGCGGAACAAAAGAGCAAAGTGGCCTGCCATTATAAAAGATGGAAAGTTCATCTGTTGCCGGTGTTTCAGGGAGTTCTCCAGCCCAAAATCACTTGGAGGTCACTTGTCAAAGCGTTCTCATTGCAAAGCCTTTGATGACACTGACCTTTCTACAGATCTGCCCACATCATTTCTTGATCTTCTTAATTCACCGCATGTTTTAAACACTGCACAGCAACCAGTGGCTTCAAATTTTAACCCTACCATGACTTTCAAAGACCAGACTAATCAGCCACTGGATAGGTGCTCATTAGACTCGAGGTTTTTCCCTAATGTGACGTTCCCCCAAGCCAACGGCTCTGCTTATTCTAGTTCTGATGGGCAAAACGGTGATGTCCTGAAGCAAGTTATCGATAATCCAACAATCCAAGACCTCTTTGAATCCTCTGGAATTCCACGGACATTCCAGAATCCTTGTGTCTCTTACACTCCCGATGGTCGTTTGCCTGAAAGCACAGTCATTCAGCACACTGGGAATATTCCAGTCAAGACAAAAACTGAACCGCATGGGGAAGATTTTATCAAACAAGAAGCAGACTGCAGGTTTGGAGGTCATGACTTTTCTGATCCTGTCCTTTCTGAGATGCTGGCAGAGAACAATTCTGCTGTTTCACTAAGCAGTCTTCCAACAGATCATTTAAATCAGATACTCAGAGCAGAGACTCTGATGAAGATGAGAGAAAATAAGGGGAATGAAGAATCCCAGCAGGAAGGGATATCAAATGATGGTCTTTTGGCGGCAATGGCCAGTTTGGCACAAAACCTTATGACAAATCCATTGTTGCAGATAACCTCATCTGACTCCAGCGAGCACACATTGACGCCGGTCAGCCCTCAAGACGATGTAGAAAAGAAACAGTCAGAGCAGAATGTCAAGAAAAAACTGCGTGAACAAATTTTAGCAGGGGACCTTCTCAGAAGGGGCAGTTTGTCTCGACCATCTGGTGCTGATGTAAATGCCAGTCCAAGAAACTTAAGTCTGCAGAACCCTGGTCCCCAAACTTTGAATGACCAGCAAAGTTCCGAGTCCTCAAAAGTGGTTCCGGTGATGCCTAATGGGAACCTTAGGTCTGAGATGAACAGCATTGGAATGGTCACTGAGGCCTCTTCTAAGAATTTTGGGGCCTTATCAAAGTTAAGTGCTAGTCAGCAGGGAAGGACTCCTTTAGTTCCACCAGAGGCTCCTGCTGCAGCAGCCGCTGTGATAAACGACACGGACACTGATCCTCTTTTGTCCGAAGTTGTAGATGAAACAGTCATGGAACTTCAAAGAGCTTTAGAGAAATTAGATTTAGACAAGGAAGTTAGTGAGAACACCCAAGCAACAAAAATCTGTTCCCCTGTTATGAACTCGAGTTTAAACAGCATAGTTGTAAATAATACTGATTCTGTGAAGCCAAACATCACTGTAGCCCTAGATGAATGTTTGAAACCATTTGTTTGTGAAAATGAGGGCTGCAAGTACAGAGCTATGACAAAAGATGCTCTCTTCAAACACCTTTCAAAAACACACAATTACACCGGAGAGATGATCAATGAAATCAAGAAAAATCATGGTAAATTTGCCCCATTTCGCTGCCAGATGTGCAATAAGACATTCACCAGAAATTCAAACCTTAGAGCCCATTGTCAGACTGTTCACAGCTTGTCTCAAGATGAAATGATCAGGCTGAGAATAAAACGACAGTGCAACAAAAAGCCTGAGATACAAATCAGTAATGACCAGGTCAGTGGAGAGAAGAACAATCTACTGTTCACTGCAGTAGGCCATGGAAAGCTTAATGAAAGCTTCATAAAACAACATATGCCTACAGATGCTGGACAGAACAGATCAGTTGCTATATCGACACAAAATACGATTGATGCACAAAAAAGAGCAAGCCAAGAACACCATCCAAAGTCTTTTGAGGTGAAGCCAGCTGGTTCCTTAGCTACTCGAGAATCTCATCAAGATAATGGTCTCCCAATTGGACTACCAATTCAGCCTGCACAAGGTATACCTGTTTGTAGTCAGACAGAGGTGGAGAAAGCTTCACCAGCCACGGTTATGACCGGACATCCCTCGGAGGGGTACCTTGCTACAGTTGATGGTGTCGTAGCGCCCCAGCCTCCGAATGCATTATATCCATCTGTCCCCACTTTGCATGCCAAGCAACAAGGAGAGCCACCTGCCCAGATTTTACCAGCTGGGACCTCTTTTGCACCTGCAGCCTCTGGGCCTCCCCAAGAAGATCCTCTGCAGCTCGCAATACGGTCTCCAGACAAGGGGTTTAATGCAATGAAGCCAAAACTGGTCAAACCTAAAGTCGAGACACCCAAGAAGATTAAAGAGAAGAAGGAGCGAAAACCAGCAGTAAAGAATGGTGAGGTAGATGATACCTTCAGCCCTTACAGGCCTTACCGTTGCGTTCACCAGGGATGTATGGCAGCGTTCACCATCCAGCATAACTTAATCCTCCATTATAAGGCTGTACATCAGTCTGCTCTGCCTAAATTTGAAGTGAGCAATGATGACGAACATGACAACCCACCTGAAGATAACAAAGAAGATTCTGAGGTTGCTCAAGTGAGTGAATTCAGATGTCAGGTTAAAGACTGCTCACGGATATTCCAAGAAGTGACAAGCTTATTGCAACATTATCTCCAGCTTCACAAATTCACCCTTGATAAAGCGGGTGGCCTGATTTCCAACATAAATCTGGGTAGGTTCCAGTGTGATCAGCCCGAGTGTACCAAATTTTTCACTGCTTTCTGGAAGTACATTGCCCACATCGATGAGGCTCACAAGGAGACAAAGCTATCCAAGGTAGAAGCTGTTGAGGGATTATTCCGATGTGAGGTTGAAGGTTGTGACCGTGGCTATGCTACACGATCTAACCTGCTGCGTCATACCATGAAGAAACACCAGGACCTTTACAAACTTCAGCTGATGACACAACGAAAGAATCAGGATAGAGAGAGACAGGTCTCAAAGAAATCCCAGCCGGGAGTTGATCAAGCTAACGACGGGAAAGAAAACATGCAAAACAACCAAAAAGCTATTCAAAAAGGAAACGACAAAAAAAAAGCCGATGACGTAAAAAATAATCACTGGACAAAGTATGGAAAGCCCTCTTTGAAATCCAAAGAGGAAGCGACAGCAATGTGTACAAAGAAATTTCCCCTACAGTATCCCTGCATGATAAAGGGCTGTGAATCTGTCGTGAGCTCGGAACGGAACATTTTAAGGCACTACATTCGGCATGGACTTTCTGAGAGGTACTTAGAAGAGCAGAGAAGCTACTTCATTTTCTGCAAAAAGTCCTCCCGCTCGAAGTGTTGGTCACACAGAAGCAGAGCCAACTTTGAGGATAGTTCCACTGAGACTTCAGAGAACGAGGACGCAGAAGAAACTGGTCCTGACATGAGCGAGACAGAGAGCTTGAAACTCACCTCTGGCAGGGACGAGACCGCGGAGGACACCGAAATGTCAGACGCCAAGCAGTCCACAGATGACAGCTCTGAAACTAAATCTGTCACGTCATCAGAGGTGAAGAGAAAGAGAGGGCGACCTCGCAAATCCGTTACCGACGAGGTTACACCACTTACTCGTAGGAAGGCATTAGAGAGGTTAAGGTGCACCCGGAGCAATCCAGTCAACTATGCAGGTAATGGATCTGACTCAACTTCCTCCTCCAGTACCGTTCCAACCAATGAGGAGCAACCTGATCAAAGTATATCGCTGAGCTCTTTCAAGCCCATGGGCTTTGAAGTGTCCTTCCTGAAGTTCTTGGAGGAATCCACACAGTCTGCTCATCCTCCGAAAAGGAAAGCTAGCGAGGTCATTGGCACGATCCCTCTGAAAAGAGACAGGACTATTCAGCTAAAAACGGCCACTGTGGTGTGCAAGCGCTCCGATGCTTATGTGCGGCCGAGAGCCATGCAGAGCTGCATAGACTTCAGAAACCCCCAGAACCTGACTTCACTGAGAAACGTGAAGATCGTGGTGGACAGTGCTTTCTCTCACGTGGCTGACCTTCTGCTCAAGCAGCTTCAGGAAATGCGACCTTTGGTGATTCTTCAGAAGTAGACTTTGAGTGTTAACTGACTGGTTGAATGTCTATTATCAAAGCATAGTACTCAGGATTAGAACAGTAACCTGCTGCAGACTGGTGTCCAAAAACAATAATTCATTTGAATAGGTGTATTTTCCAACACTAAGCAGTATCAAGCTATTTGTTAGCCATTAAGTGTACTACATGAGCATTTTAATTTTTCTAAATTAAAATAAAAGCTGATTTTAAAGTTTGGGTAAAGCATTTGTCTCTTTTATGAATATGTACATTTTAAGCTGATCTTTTGTAGTAATTAAGTGTAGGGAATCTAAATTGTAAAGCATGTTTGTATTTATAAAGCGTCACATTACATTGCCTTTGCAGAACAAACATTTTGGAAAATGACAAGGCTCGAAGGTTTAATATCCCCGTGGGATGTTTTTTTTCCTTTTGGTAACAAAATTTATGTAAACAGTTGGATATAGTGTTGTGTAAAATTTGTGACTCATCGTTCTTGTAAGATCTTGTAAATCAGAACCTGTAGACAATACTTGTGTGCGTGTGTGCCTGTGTGCGTGTATATGTGTAAACGAACTACTTTCATCAGCATTCTGAATGTCAAGTTAAACCACATTTTACTACTCATGGTTCCTGTATTTGTATGTTTCTTCACTTTGCAATTTTCCCCCGCCAGATTCATACGTATCCCATTTCCATATGTTGTGGTATACCTTTCTCACACCATTATGAATATGACTGCAACCATTACTGTAGCCAGATAAATTCTGGCAGTTCATGAACTCACTACTGTGTGTGTCCATACAGTTTGATTTGGAATATAAATATGAATCTACATTTCAGTGTCTTTATATGCTATCTTTATTGTAAAGCTTTTAATACAGACTAGTTTTGATGATTTCTTTAGTCTCTTATTGGACATAATTGTGTGCATCTGTCTGGTATGTGAATATTGGACTGGAGTTCATTCAACAATTGGTATAATTTGTTAGATGGTTTTAAAAGCATTTTTTCCATAATCAGAACTTTTTATGCATTGTGGAAAAAGAAATTGGGTAACATTGAAAACTATTTTAGAGTCAAACTTCCAACCTCTGCACAAGTTCCCCAGTTCTAAATCTGAGCCCTTAAACCAGAATCCAGATTCACTGCCATACACTGATGATTCACTTTTGATGGGGATACAGCTGTAAGCAGTGCATTATGGGATACTAAATGTTCCATTTCTGAGGTTTGCGAAGCCGTTTGACTTTCGAATGCCATCTTCTTGTCACAGTAAATAGCTTAGGAAACCCTTTTTATTCAGTTTGGAAACTGGCAAAGGTAATCTGAGCTCTTAAAACTGGCCCAGCCTATAAGGAATTATGTTCCCGTAAACAGACATTTCACGACAGACAAAAATACAACTGTACTTAACAAACCAGTGAAGAGCGAAACTAAATTATCTCTGACGTCAGGTGATACATATATGCGAAAGGCAGACTGCAGCCAAGGTATCTAATGAATTCCTTAGGGCAACTAGGGACCAGCAGATGAAGGTCTAATCAGTTTGATGGATGTTAGGGGCTTCGATAACACGCTGATTTTATCGCGACTGTGACGGTGACAGCGGCACTGGGATTTATCGACTGAGACGTAACGCTTGCTGAAGCTTTTCCAGCACTGCCTGGATAAAATGTATATCATCTCAGTGATGTTCAGGATGATGCAGATCACAGATACGCTGGTCATGATGTAGAGGAACACCTTTTTCTCAGTAGGCCTGGAGACATAGCAGTCCACGGTGTTGGGGCAAGGGCTGGTGCTGCACTGGAGGAGACTGGGAACCTCGAAGCCACTGTACAGTTTGTAGAAAGCCACCAGAAAACCCACCTCTAAGGCGGTCTTGAAAAGCAAGCTTAAGAGGTAGGTGCAGAGCAAGCCGCCATCGATGCTGCCCTTATCATTGTAAAGCTGTTTTCCGTGCCTCTTTTCCCGATACTCGCGGTAAGCGACGTGCAGAACCACGAGCAGTGACGGCGTGGACACCATGATCAGCTGCAGGGACCACAGGCGCACCTGCGACATCGGGAAGAAGTAGTCGAAGCAGACGTTATGGCATCCCGGCTGCTGCGTGTTGCACACGAAGTCCTTGTGCTCGTCTTTCCACACATCCTCCGCAGCAGCCACGAACACCAGGATGCGGAAGATGAAGACCACGGAGAGCCAGATGCGCCCGATCACTGTAGAATACTTGTTGACCCCACTCAAGATATTCTCCAGGGCCAACCAGTTCATTTTTTTAACTCTGTCCTCTCACTGACCCTTGAACAAAAGGAAACACTGGGTTATTTTTTCGGTTGTTTTGCTAAATTGAAACTCATAGTAAATTAGTAATTAATAGTAAATCGTGTTTATCTTAGTCCTGCAGTCGGGATGCTTTGGCACAACGCGCATCTTCTAAGAAAGGTCCAAATCATCACAAATCTCCTGATGATATTTTCAGTTTTGTCCGGAGCCTACGGTCATACCTTTATTGGGTGTTTGTCTGTAGCGTTAATTGGTGGTGGAGTCTCTCTCATTATTTACGGCTGACTCACTTGTTGCTTGTATGCGTTTCATCGTTTTTTTCCGGTATGGGAAGGCGACCGCAGGCATAATGTGGAAGTTGCTTCACTTGCCTCTTTAGGTGTTTATACTATTTGTTGCCACGATATAGATGTTTCAGATATAATATCACGTTTCTTATATATGACTGTACCTTTCACAGTTTAGGTATACCTATGCCACAGAATGTATTAATTACTTCATGTTTGTTTAATGTACGAGTGATGTTTCCTGACATCCGGCTGAAAACTTTAGAATAATCATCATATGAGGATATATACAGTTTACGTTTAGAAACATCTTTTTCTTAATAAGGAGAAACCGACTGAAATAGAATTGAAGGGTATTTACCTTTCGGTGAGGTTCTTCTGGCTCTAAAATATTTTTCCTGTTGTGTCGCTTGCAGAGCAGGACATGGAGGTAGTAGCAGTTTGCGTGTCTCTTCGTCCTTGTCATACTATTTGTGTATCAAATACACCTGCCGGACGCCACACCTATATGGTAGTCAAGGAGCCACCGCGGCGCGCTTTAAAGGGACATCCTCAAGTAGGCGTTTATTGGTACATAAGGAGAATACTTCCTATGAAATGGGTAAAGAATGTATTAAAAATCTGGGTTTATTTAAGGGGATCTTACTAGTTGCATAATGTCAAATAGACCAACAGATAAACTCATTATGTTTGGTCTAGTACTAGCCTATCATTTATAAAGGCAGGATGGCATTCGCTTTAGACCTATTGCTTATTAGGGAAATTTAATTTGATTAAATTGATTTAATTTTATTGAGGAATCACTTGTATTTCTGTGAATTGAGTGTTAATTGCATGAGGTCAGAAGCTTGCAGAGTATCAAATGCCGCACTGTGGTTTGGGTCCAGCGTCGCTCACTGTCCGTGTGTCAAGCAGCCGTCACCAGGTTCAGGAGTAATTAAGCTATAAGTCAGCCGTGTCGTGGATGCTAATCGAAAATACTACGAGTAAAGTAGTCATTGTCATTTTTTGGTAAATGTATTTTAGATAACTGGAGGCGTATCTTGAAATTTTAATGTCAGTTGCAAAGTAAGTAATTGATCCAGATGATAAATTAGTTATGAGAGTGTACCAAGCTTTCCATTAAGCAAGTGCTTTCGCCTTTCTGTTCACTTGTACGTGCGTTTTATTCCCGCGTCTTATGTGGGACAACCTAAACGTAAAATACAGGCAAAGTATTTACAAAAGGTGAACAGTATAAAGTGTGTAAAGTTGCATGTGTTAGCTATTAGGAGTGCTCGTTTGGCGCAAGGACAGTCTGTCTGTGCTGGGCTTCAGTCGGACCGTATCAGGGAGAAAAATTTTTGGCTTGGGTTATTGTTTTTTTACGTAACCTTTATTGTCCCTCATGGGGAAATTCTTTTTACGCCTCCATCAACTTGCTCTTTGTAGAACAAGCTGTCTGCGAACGGCAGCCACCTGTTGGGGCGCCCAGTTGAACCCTTAATTATTTTCTTAGCTCTGTCCCTGTACCTCCTCTATAGACGAGCTATAATAAATAGTTAAATTTGTAAGGGCGTTAATTCTTCCTCACTGCATTGTGGAACATTTATTTCGGTGACTTTTTTCGTTTATACGTTTGTTTCGTTCCGAACAGAAACGCCTCCCTAGAAATACTTGGTCGGATTAACGAGTCATACGAATGTGACCCAGCGCACATTAATAAAGGAAGCGCCTCCGGCTCTGCGCGCATGTCTCCATTCCGAACGGCTGGTGGCGCTATAACCTGCAGGAAACCCTTTTAATTCCTGTGTTTGGCTGCGCGACTCTCTTTTTTTGTCGTTTGCTCTTTACTTCCGAGGACCATGAGAAGGTGAGTTTCACGCTGCTGTGAAGGTGCAGGTCGCCCAACCGGTTGGACGGTGGTTTTATTTAGTCTAGTTTATAAGCTGCATACATTTTTCTGTATGCAAAGTTAGTTATTTTTGTAGTTTGTCTTGGCTGCAGCCCTGTCGTGCATCTCATTATCAGTCACCATGCCAGCCTTCCCTTAAGCTGCATGACATTTCCTCGGCGATCGTCGTTTATAATGTTAACTACCCGTGTGAACATTTATCCTGTTAACGGAGCCACAAGGCTTGTCTAACTTCTTCCATGTGCTGTCGTCAGATTGTAACAATGCCGTCTCCTGAGCAAGGAAGCCATAAAGTAGAGACCTCGAACGAGAGCAGATTCAAGGCGCCGGGTTTGAGGGCGGCCAAGACCACCACTCTCTTCCGGGCCGTGAACCCAGAACTCTTCATAAAACCCGTAAGGCCTCAGGTTATTGCATATTTAAGCCACATAGGTTCAGAGACCATTAAAGTGTCGGAGGTTTCAGTGTTATAGGAACCCCTAATGTAGTCTGGTTGCTGTTTTCTCTCTCTCGGATGAATGTATTTAGTCTTGATTGGGCTTTCACAAAGTACTTGTAATAGTCTTATCTAAATGTCGTATGTGGTGACCCTTTAATTATAGAACCGTAGACTTGTGTTACTGAAACATGACACATTTGCCCCTCCAATCAACGATTGCTTAAATTCCTGTTTTCATATTGAATCAAGTCAGAGTGGCTAAAAAGTGTCAATTGGAAAATATGTTGTTCATTATGATAATAGGTAAAATACACAAATGAATCATCAAATTAGGCTACACGTAAATGTAAAAGAAATTGAAGTAGAACTTATAGTGACACAAATAGCAGAAACTGAGTCCTCAGGACATATGAGGAAGGTATTTTGAAATAAATGTTTGTCAGCGGGAAATGGAATGAAAGCTGTGGATCAGTTTGCTTTATATAAAGTAATACACTGTATGACCTAAACATGAAAATATATTTTAAGCAGTGTCATTCCTCTTCTGTAGAATAAGCCTGTAATGGCCTTGGGACTGATTACGATATCGCTGTGTGTGGGATACCTCGGATATCTTCACGCCGTCAAAGAGAATAACCAAGAGCTGTACGAAGCCATTGACAGCCAGGGCGAGCGATACATGAGACGAAAGACATCCAAGTGGGACTGAACATGCTAAACGACAATGTAGAAGTCGATGAAGACCACCACTCTCAAAGAAGCAAGCTCTTAAAGTTCACTGCATGCCATAATGGAGATGAAGCACCATGGAAATTAATGTAAACATTTTTTTAAATAAATGGTGAGACAAAACCTTGAAGATTGAGTAAAATGCACCTGCCATTTATTTAAGTTTGTTAGATGATAGCTTCCTTTGTAAGGAATGATGTGTGTGAATGTTGCAAATATTTTAATTTCTCTGTAATAAGCTCAATAAAAAAGTGATACTTTGTGTAAATGATCTGTTTTTTAAACACGACTATTTAATCGGCCCTCTGTTTGTTTATTGTATTATTACTGAGCAGCTTTTAACAAAAATCATTCAGATATTGGCAAGTTAGAATGTAGCGCTACAGCTGTTTCAGCTACACGGCATGTAAACAATTCCGACTTTAGCTATAACCACTATTTGTCCTTATTTAAATATAGTTTGTAGTTATCAATATCTAAGTTATTTACTTTAGAATGGAAAAAAAACATTGTTTAAAACAAAGACCAGGATGATATCACTATTCTGTGAGTATTGAAGCACAGGTAATGGGAAAAGAAATGGCAAACTTAGATTACGAAATGTCAGTCTTTTTTTTTTTTTTTAACTCCTGGACTGGGCAACTAAACTATCGCAAGTGTGGAGAACACCATCAACTGAGGTGGCTGTTATGGGAAGGAGGGTCGGAGGTGGAAGAGAGAGACAGAGAATGATCTACTACAGTTTTATTGTACTGTCATTTACAATGACAGTAAAGAATCTTGATTGTCCTGACTTCACGTTAGGTAAATACTTACTGGCTGTAATTATACGCCACACAGCCATTCAAGAGAAGTATTTACGGGTGAGGTATTTCATTGTATTCCTGTTTTAATTTAGTTTGCGATTCGGAGTATTGTGGGTGTATAAACGGAACGCTTCACTGCCTGCTCATACCAAAACTACAGTTGAACAAGTTTCTGTGCAATATGAAGGAGGAGAACATCTTAATTAATCTGATCCAGCCCCAAAGGGTAATTATGTTTATCAGGAGTCTAGGTGTGAGAGAGTTCTAGGGTGTAGGTTTGGGTACCGTCGGTTGGGACTGGTGAGAGTACCGTAGGTGTTTGGGGGGGTGGACGGTTCGGTGCTGATTTGGCCCCTACCGATGCTGAATCCAAACCTACACACTTAAGAGGTGTTGAGTAAATTAACTGTGTCCAGCTATACTAGACAAACAGGTACACAGGTCACTTGAGAGAAATCCAGACCGCTGTTACGTCATTCGCAACGCAAATTGTATTTCGTTATTATATGTAGAATAATGTAACCAAAAGACTAGCAAAACAGCGCGCCGTGCTGCACACATATACAAAGTAAGCATTAAAAACTTCTGTTCACTACAGATTCATTTCATTATTTCCTCGGAATATGTTCATCTTTAAAACAACATACAAGAAATCCTCAGATCAGTTCCACGGACTTCACGAGTTTGCCATTAAACTGTAATCAGTTGGTTAGTTAATTCTTCGCTTTTATGTTTTAAGTTGCTGGGAATTATAACAACAACAATACTGAAGGAAACATTTAAATGACTGCCGGGGGCAGAAAGGCGCACGGTGCCGCCAGCATCCTCCCTCCCCTTTTGGGGAGTTATAAAGAAGTCCGATCCACCCATTTAAAGTGTCCATTCAGCCGCACGTTTCGCACCCGAATTCGCGCAACATGGCGGAGCGTCGCGGCGTAGCATCGCCCATCTGCCGGCCGACACGCGAAACTGACTCGATCAGGCTTTTCCCGTAAGATGTGACTGCGAGGAGGCGGCCGGGCCCTTTTCCACGCCTCTTAAATTACACTTTACCGGCCGCACGGCGATTACGATGGGAGCCTGTTTTCCGTTTTGGTAACTTGCGATTGAATACAGTCACACGATGAGCAGCAACGCAACAGGTAAGAAACTTAAAGCGAGTCTGTTCTGCTGTCAGTAGGGATTTGGTATGTGTTACGTCTGAGTATATGTTTAAAAAAATCCTTAAACGCATCAAATGTGTTCATTCTAATGCTGAATTAGGCGTCATGCTTGAGTCTGCAGGTCAGTCTCTGCTGCCGCTGTTTCTGCAGGTGAGGGATCGATATTGCTGGTCCCTTCTGGATCCTCCTTCATTATTTAACCCGACGGGAGCCTGTGTTACTGGGGGAGAAGGCTGTGCTCTTTATTAGCGGGGATCCTGAAAATGTGCTTTGCACGTAAAATATTCTCCAGTATTATAGTGTTTATTGTGACATGACTGCTACAGTGCTTTATTTCATACATTTCCTTGCACACTTCTCAGACGTTGTATAACGACGATAAAGTTGGATTGAATCGAATGTTTTTCGAGTTTTACCAGTCCCCTTTATTTATTTTATTTTTTTGACCTAGCAGAGTTCCGCAAGTCTTCCTCCACCCACTCCCTGCCTGCGGATCATGTGCTGTGCTCTGGGGCAGTCACGTTTCCCGGTATTTTCCCTTTCTCTTGTTTTTTTTAAAGTTTATTTAGGCACCTGGTATCGTGACGTCATGACTAAATAATGGAAGATATACCTTCCTTACCGCTTTAAAACATCTGAGTCTTAATATTCTTAAGGTTTTTATGCCTATCGCCCGTCAGCCACGTTTAACAGTAAACTAGTAGGCTGTTTCTTGTGTGTGCCCTCTTCTCACAGGTGCCTTTGACCAGCAAGGATGTCCGTTAGTGCTGTTTCCAGTAGCACATCAAAGCAGGCTGACATCTGACCTGAAAAAGGAAGAAGTTGTTTATTTCATCAATTACTTTTTGCAGTTGCATAAGTAAGCATTATTCACCCCTGCATTTGGATAGCTGAAGTGGTTCCCTCTCCATGGGAATATGGTGGCACCTTTGTAGCTGTCTGCGTCTCCTGCCTGCATGGTCTGCTTAACTGTGCTCTGTCTTGTAGTAAATACCAGGAGAAGAACAGTCTGCTTTCCGTAGTGGTGGACTTCAGGAATGCTGCCCTGACCACAGCTAGATTTGTAGCTGAAACTCTTCTGCTCCTTGAGGTGAATTCATGGAATATTTTGCAAGTCATTTCCGTTTGGTTCCTTGCAATAAGACAGACTCTAAATGCTGTAATATTGTAATACTTCAATGTGGCATAAAGGAACAGCGCTCTGTACATACACTAACTCTGCATCACTTAAAACTCTCAGTAGTTAATCTCAGCACACTGATGTATTAATGAAAGCATTTTAGGTGGCTGCTGTTTTTGTGGTGGATATCGGAACTCCCAATAAATTAGCTAGTGTGAACCTTTTTCATGGATTAATGTTTTTCTCCCAAACATGCACTTTCAGTTAGTTTTTTTTCCCCCAAGTTCAGCCTGATTCTCTGCTTTGCAGACTGGAATCTTGGGGGAATGCGATGGTTTGGGTTGCCGGCATCCTGTTGAAGTCAGGGCTGACATACCAGGGTTGATCACAAGACATTGCATGTTAATATAACCCAGACAGTTCAAGAATTTGCCTGTGAACTTCTAAGGACATTTCCAAACCTGATTATATAATTTTAGCTGGAATTTCGAAGTGGTTAAAGCCCTCCTTGTCTGATGTATGTGGGAAATCGTTCTTTGGTGCATCGGTCCTGGTTTGATAAAGAAAACTGCAGTCCAGGGTGGTGGTGGTGGTGGTGGTGATGATGATGATGATGGGGAGAAGAACGAGAATTTAATTATCACATGCCTGGAGTCAAGGTCACATGCTTTCAGTATGAACCATCATGCGCTTGGTTATCTTCCAATGGATCTCCTCAAAAACATGCAGGCTGTATTGAGGTTAGTAATAGGGCTTTTTAATCTTTTGTGGGTCTGGTGTCATTTTCACTGAACGTGTCACTGCAGAGGTATGTGGTCAGCCCTGCGTGCAAATGTCAGAAACGATCACCAAGCGAGAGAATGTGTGCTGACGTTTGTTCCGTGTCCCCCCCCCCCCCCCCCAGCTGCCCCAGAGAACCGTCCATACACTCTATGTGGTTCAGCCCAAAAAGAGAGACGTGCTGAAATTACTGCTGAAACTGCTGATGTCAGCTCGCGCAAAGAGTGGAAGCTCTGTGCCCTTTAAGGTAATGATCACCTCCACGGTAAAATCACAGCGGTAATGCGTGCAAATGTGTCCTCTCACGTCGCATGTTTATGGCTTTGTCTGGTAAGTCTTCGTTTATACCCTTACAGAGTGTTTTTCTGAAAGAAGTTTTTGAACTCTATAACTACATCGATCGGAGCCAATTGACCCCGGAACTGGGCGGTTACCTCGTTTACTGTCATCAAAGCTGGGTAACATTTTTAAAGGTAATCTTCATTTTTTTTTTTTTTATTTTAAGAATGCATATGCGGGGGGGTTACTGTCATAAGTCGTACCTGATTTGCTCATCTATCTTCCAAATTCTTATCCTGGAGAGCATCATGGGAGCCGATAGGTTACACCCTGAATGGGACGTCAGTCCATCTCTGGGATTGCACACTCGCACACAGTTAGCCTGCTGCGTGTGTTTGGACTGCTGTGTTGCGATGGTAGGCTACTTCGTTTTGGATGCGTCACGTGTGAGATGCTTCTTGTTCGAATTGATTTCCATCACAGCTGTTACTTCCGGCCTGCTACCCATGTTACCCCCGTTATCCGTTACCTTGGAGAAGCTCGCCCACTTGAAGTCTCCCATCTGACCTCATTAGCAACTGAAAGACGGAGCCCCTTTCTCTGTTTGATCACGCCTGCATTGTTAGGCAGGCTACTCTCAGAAAATGCACTCTCCGTCGAACGTATTCCTCAGCTGATTATAAAAGGCTGAATTATTCACAAGATCACAGTTCGTGTTGACAGCCCTGTCAAAATAAGCCATATAGCATTATGGCTTCTACTCTACTGATGACTAGCAGATTATTAATTAAGTTTCACTCCAAGTGCAACTCACTAATCATAATTTTCAGGATACGCCTTTTGCTGTACGTATGGTTAAGTTGTGGGTTGTTGACCGCAGCAGGGGAGGGATTTAATTAGGGGTAATTTGTCTCCATCAGTGGATCATCGTCTGAAAGTTGCACATTGTCTTTGTCTCCAGGAGATCGATGGATTTGTCCAGGAGTTTCTGTCAGTGGTGCACCGGCTGCCCTCCTGCATCGCCACCCTGCAGACACTCTCCCGCCAGGCCGTGCCCGCAAGTGTCGAGGAGCTGAAGGACTTTTGCTCAGCAAACGAAGCCAGATTTCAGCAGCTGCAGAGGTGACGCTCGCCAGTGAACACGGTGGCGTTTTTTTTAATACTGCTGGGCCTTAACCGATATATTGAGGCCTGGTAAATTTATTCGGTGTCTCCTTCCAATAGCACTGGCCTATACTGAACCTAATGTGATGCATGCTGTACTGCAGACTGTTTGCTGTGATTTCAGCTTTTAAACAATTTACTGTAAAACCCCATCTTGTGTTCTAAGACAACTATCGATAGTCAAAACCCCTAAGCGTGGTTGTGTTAGACGGTAGACCACGACATGGCGTTAATTTATAACGGATACCAAAGGGGCTTCGGTGGTAATGTGGCTGTATGATGGTGCCGATGGTGGCTGTCGCCCTTTCTGCAGGGAACTCGGTCTGGATGATCTGCTGAGACATTGTGAGCAGATAGTGGAAAAGCTGCGGTTCCCTGAGAACGAGCTCTGCTACCAGGACATGGCAGGAACGGCACTTTTCACTCACACGGCGTACGACATGCTGCAGAATTACAACAGGTGTAGTGTGACGGCGCGTCGCATTGGAAGCAAAGCGGGGAGGAACGTGAAGGAAGCTTCCGGGGAGTTTTAACGTGACCGATTCCGAATAGTGTGCTTGGGCACTTTTGAGCTGAGCTCAATGGGCAGAAGTGTGGTGGCACTGCCAGTCTCCTGGGACTGAGGTGGTCTTCTTCTCGAAAGGATCACGGCCGCTGTGGAGAAGGTGGATCTGCTGTGGCAGCAGGCATTTTCCCGAGCCCATCTGCAGCTGCGGCTCCTGCAGCTGCGTGACGAAGCCAAGCAGGTAGTGTGATCGGCGACTGACTGCGGAATAGCAGGAGTCCATTCATCTTGGGTAATGCGATCGGTACTAAAATAGCCAATAACTAGTTTAGTTAAATTGTGCCCTAAAGGCAAATAACCCTGATTTAAATCTTAGTGAAGCTTCCAAAAGCTTTAATTGCCAAAAATATTGTCTAAATGAATGGATATTCTCCCTAAAATTGCATGATCATCCAGATTTTGACCAGTTTCCTGCTCCTGAGACAGATTATTGACCTGATGGACAAAACCAGACTGGAGAAGCTCCAACCGTACAGAATCGAGATGGCCAAGGATGCGGAAAAAGCCCAGAGTCTGAAGACACATTTTGAGACATCGGTCTACAGACCTGCCATGGTGTGGTCAATGTCTGATGGTTTGGAGCTACAGGATTTTTTTTTTTTTTTAAATATGAATATTAATAAGCAGTCTGGCAAATACATCCAGAAGTGTTGTGAATCTCTTCACTAGGCCCTTGTGCATCGAGCCGATGATGTGCTCCACATATTGGCGGAGAGCATGTCTCCTGTGGAGATCCAAGCCCATGGAGAGTGGATCATGCAACTTGATCGTGTGAAGGAGAAGTTCTTTGCTGCTGTGGATCTACCATACCAGACGCTCAAAGCTGTCTCTGATTTCTACTATTACTACAACAAAGTAGGTGTCTCCTGGGTTTGGATATCACTGGGTGTCATCTCCTTCAGATAGATCTAAGCTTTCAAACTCCAGGTGTTACTGAATCACGTTCACTGTCAGTATTGGTATTAACTGTTCTGGCATTAGCTGTATCTTATGAAATCCTAATTGTGCTGTTTGTTTTACTACCTGAACTACAGTCGAAAACTTGGTACGACGTCATTCTGTGCGAGAACTTCTTCCAAGACCTTCTCTGGAACGGCACCCAGGACCGCATCCCTAAACTGCACTGCCTGCGAGTGATGAGGGCCAGTAGGACCCCACCTTGGAAGCAAGCGGTGTGCGACTTCCTGAAGAAGAACCCACCCCCAGAAGTGGAGGAGCTCGTTCAGTTAGCTCACCTCGCCAATGTCATTCCAGACCCTCCCCTTCAGCAAAATGGAAAGTGGCTGTCTGAAAGGTGGGGCGCTTTTTAGGGTTCAGAATTTACACTCTGGTTATTTAAATAGACAAAGCTTTTCTCTCTCTTTATATATATATATATATATATATATAACCATGATGCAGCCAGTAACTGAAATTGGTAACTTTTGTTTTTTGCAGGTGTATGATTCTCAGGAAGCTGCTGACCTCGCCTGGTGCTGTAGCGCTAAGTGACCTTCAGGTGGCGCTGCAGTGGCAGTATGAGTTCCTCAGGGGCAATCAGAGGGATCTGGCTCATTTTGACTCTGTAAGCGCAGGACAGTCTGAGAAAGAGAGCTGTGCAGAAAGCACATGCTTTCAGCTGCGAGAGAGCCGAGGTTCTGGTTCCATGCTGGATGCGCACAGCAGGCCCATCTATGAAGGCCTGTCTAATGGTACCAGACTGAATCCTGGGAAAGAGAGACTGTTGCCCCATGAGCCTCTTGCAGACTTGGGTCAAGGGGTGGTACACAGTGCTGGTAAACCTCACTCCCTCAGCTCCTTTGATTCTGGATTTGATGGAGCTGGAAGCTCCCACACGGACTTGGGGGTGCGGCGAGAGAGCTGGTGTGCTAGGGAGGCCCTCCGGCCTGTCGATAGACAGCCCCGCATCCACGAGGAGAACATTTCCAGTGTGTCGGATTCCGAGGAATGCAAGGAGTTTGAGTTTGCCCACGTGGGAGGCACCTCGAACGCCAGCATCCAGCTCGTTCCGAAGATAACGGTGGATTCTCTCAACGTTGAAATAAAAGTGAAGCGTTGTGCAGTGTTGCCCAAAAATCCCTGGCTTAGTTTGCCTGTGGAAGACCTTGAGAACTCCTACACAGTCACCGTCATGCCAAATACGGAGGATTCACATCCGACAGGCGTCTTCCAGTCTCAGGACACGCCCGGTCGGACTGAGATTTGTGAAAGTTCTCCGACATCCACCGCAGAGGAGCAGCAGACTGCCTCGTTTGGTACAGGGGAGGCGCAGGAGAGAACAAATATCCTGCAAACACAGGACAGCTTTGAGGACTCTGAATCCAGCCCTCGCTACAATCACCTGTCTAGCACCATAACGGACGCACAGGAAAAGGCCGAGTCCTCGACCGACAGCTTTCCGTCTCTCCTCTGGGACACATATGACTTTCACAACACAAAACAAGATTCCAGTGAAAGGTAACCTTCATACTTGGGTGCTGTGAACTCGCATGATTTAATGAACTAACCCTGAGTTTGCTGCAGGTTGGTTAACAGTCTGGATGATGTATTTCTGAATGACTGGGACCTTAAAGAGCAAGAAGGACTGCAGGAGGTCGAAAACATACTTGACCGGACGGCTGAAATACTACAGGCAAGTTCAGATCTCATACAGTGGTTGTGGGGTGTTGATGACTTTAGCTATATAAATATGTCCCTTTTGTAAGCATTTCATTTGCATTCCAGGAAGAAGAAAATGTACTTGCTCAGGAGGAGATTTTGGATCTTCTGCTGAAGACTGAAAGTAGCAGCAGGCAGTGGGTCATGTCTGAGTGTGAAGACCAGGCCAGAGCAGTAATGTCAAACCCTCCCTACCATCAGCATATACGTCTTCTGAATATACCAGCCATTAGATAAACTTTATCAATCCCTCGGGAAGGTTCCTCCGGGAAATTCAGTTTCTAGCAGCAACAAAACACCGGCCTAATAGTACAGTTACACATAGCAGTACTTTACAAAAAATCTAAGATAGAAATATAGGAAAGAATAATAAATAGCGGTGGGATGATAGTAATAATTATTGCACAGGTTAATTGCAGTCATGTAGTCTATTATAAAGTCAATAAAATGTCCTTCTGTCCCCCCTCCTGCCCCCCAATGAGGAGTTGAACAGTTTGATGGTGTGCGAGACAAAGGAATTCCTAAGTCTGTCAGTTCTG